TATATATATTATTGATTTCAGAGATGAAGAGGGAGAGAGAGAAACATTAATAACGAGAGAATCACTGATTGGCTGCCTCCTGCCTCCTACAGGGCCCCTACTGGGGAAACAGCCCACAACCTGGGCAGGTGCCCTTAATGGGAATCAAACCTGAGATCCTTCAGTCCACATACAGATGCTCTATCTACTGAGCCAAACCAGCTAGGGCAATGTTGGTATCTTTTGACTCCCTTCACCTATTTGTGCATTCTCCCATGCTCTTCCTCTGGCCACCACCAATCTGTTCTCTGTATCTGTAAGTTTGTTTTTGTTTTTTTAATCCACCCAAGGAAATTCTTTTTATTGATTTTAGAGAGAGAGGAAGGGAGAAGGAGAGAGAGAAACATCCATGTGAGAGTGAAACATGGATCAGTTGCCTCCCAAACATGCCCCAATGAGGCATCAAACGCGCAACCTAGGTCTGTGTCCTGATCAGGAATCAAACCAGTGACTTTTGGGTGTACAGGACACCACTCCAACCAATTGAGTCACTCTGGCCAGGCCAAACTTGTTTATTTTTTTTAATTTTTTTTTAGATTCCACATGTAAGTGAAATATTACTGTATTTGTCTTTCTCTTTCTGATTTATTTCACTTAGCTTAATGCCCTCAAGTTCCATCCATGTTGACCCAAATGGCAAGATTTTATTCCTTTTTATGGCTGAATAATATCACATTGTGTGTGTGTGTGTGACATTTCATTCATTCTAGGCTATATATGGTATAGTTGATTGCTCTGTAGGGAAGAAAAACAACATTTTCCTTCTACCTTTTTTGGTTTTTGGTTGAGACATCACAGTAATACACACACACACACACACACACACACACACACACACACTTAACAGGAGAAAAAAAAAACAAGGTTTAATAACATGTATACTTCTTATATACATGAGAGAGACCCAGGAAAACTGAGTAATTCACCAAAACAGCTGAAGCCAGCACCTCAAATACCATCTTCAGTTGAAGACTAAAGAAGATTTGGGGGTGGGTTGGGGTTACCAGAAAATCACAGTAAGCAAGGATAAAGTTGTGATGCATATTTAAGTCATTTTCTGCTGCACTGATAAGCATTTCTAGAGATAAGGCCATCCCCCTTTTTCTGGTACAACAAGGAAGACACTCTTACAAATGAAGATTTTTTCTTGCAAATGTAAGTGCATATTATAAAGGGTACCTTTTACTTGGTTTTCAGAGCTTCTCCCAGGTCTGCTGTCTCTTAAAATTAACCAGCCTAAAATAATTCTTATGCCAAATAGATATATTTGGGGGGTGACACATTCTGTTCCCCTACAGCTGCTAGGCTATAAATCTGTATAGCATGGTACTCTATTGAATACTGATGACAACTATACAACACACTGGTAAGTGTTTATGTAATGCATTGTGCTGCCACATTATGATGGCTAAGACATAACTAGGAGATAGAAAACTTTCAGTTTCATTATAATCTTACTAGAAGCCCAGTGCACAAATTTGTGCACCAGTGGGGTCCCTCGGCCTGGCCTGTAGGTATTGGGCCAAAACCGATCTCTGGTTCCGGGATGCGAGTGAAGCAGATTCAGGGCAGCAGTGCCCCAGCAGCAACCTAACTCACAACTGATTCCGTGAGGAGTTGGGTTCCCCCCTCTACTGATCAAAGCACCTGCCCCCTGGTGGCCATTGCGCATCATAGCTACCAGGCAAATGGTTGAATGGTCAGACGGTCACTTAGGCTTCTATATATATAAATGGGACTATGGTCATATAGATGGTTTGTTGTTGACTTAAGTGTCTTTATATATGGCACAGGACTGTACCCAGAAGTTGAGTTGCTGATCATATGGTATTCCTAGTTTTAATATTTGAGGAACGGTGGGAAGGGAGGCGAGGGAGTCCCTCTCCACCCAAGTCTCACATGGGTTCCGCCCTCCGGAGCCAGCATCCTTCCTGGTTCCTGCTCACTGTCTGTGCTCTCTGGACAGCAGAATCTCTTATCATCTCAGAAGCATCTCTGAGACACACGAAAGTACCGTCAACGTAAGAAACGTTCAGACCTGTAGAGAATTCTTATGAGTTTATTTGAGCCAAACTGACATTGCCAGGAAGCAAAATCTCAAAGGATTGAGAAAATGCCCCAGAAAATGGCAGTTCTGCACCCTGCTTTAGACATTACAATCAAAAGAGAAGAGGTAAGTGGGTTACCTGAAATCCATTGGTGACAGATGAGGGAGGTGGGAGAAGGCAAAGTGGGGGAACCTCTAGGATTGGATGAAAAGTGAAATGATAGACACACTTCTTTTACACAGGTGCGTTCAGGAAAGTTAACAAGGAACATGATAACAATGACGATGAGGGGATTTGTAGTCTCCACTCTAGAGCAGTGCCTGTGCTTTGAGGGGTCCAAAAAAAAAAGAAAATTAATTTGACATTCCAAAGGTATGTTATCATAGATGCAAAAAGTCAATAGACAGGCCCACTTAAGGTTAAGATTGACCTTTGTCAGGGAAGATACCAGCCAAGGACATGACTACCCACCATAAACTGCTTTTTAGTTTAAATAGTTTTAATTTCAGACCATCCCTTGTGATTACTTTAGTTCTCTGAGTTTGCAAGGCCGCCATGCAGGCCTTCCGTGAGCTTATCAGGTTAGCATGTGGCCCTTTTCCGTCCGCATTTGTTATTGCTTGTCATTTAATAATAGCCATTCTAACAGGTATGAGGCGATAACTCCTTGTGGTTTTGATTTTCATTTCCCTGTTGATCAGTGATGTTGAGCATCTTTTCATGTATGTGTTCATTATATGTATGTATTCTTTGAAAAAAAATGTTTATTCAGATCCTCTGCCCATTTTTAAAATGGATTCTTTTCTATTGAATTGTTTGAATTCCTTGTATAGTTTGGATATTAACCCCTTATCAGGTGCATGACTGCAACTGCTGTAGATTCTGAGGCTCTCTCAGACCTTGTATGGATACACCTGCTCCACACTTGCACCCTTTTATGGCAGGATTCTTTAGCTTGTATATCTTCTCTTGATTTTACAGCACACAATGCTGGCTACTCTGTCTCCCTTCTTTTCCTGAAGGTGGCTATACAGTTCTCACTATCTCACACACCCTGGCCCAATTTCTGCTCATGCTCCATATCTACCAGTGCTTGCTCTCACTGCTCCCCTCCAGAGCAGGAACAAGGAGCCAACCACAAAGTGAAGGGAGGTGTGGATTTGGCATGTGGTGTGCTGGGCATGCCGGCAGGCCAATTTGGAAGATCCTTGGGTTAGGCCTTCCCCATAGCTCATAGGCAGGCTTCTTGATGGAAATCCAGAATGCATTCAGCAAGAACCATATCCCATTAATACCCTCCTTAAATCATATATGCAGTCTCCTGATCTGCTCCTTCCTCCATCCCCCCACTCATGGAGCTTCCCATTGAATATAGTAGATACTCTGAGAGATAAATGAGTCTCTTTGGAAGCCTCCTGTACAGCTGGGAAAGCCAGGCATTTACTCATTGGCTCTCCCATCACCCAAGGGAGAAATCACAGCCATCTCTTCTAGCCCTAAGCTGGTCCTACTTGAAGAGGCGTCGAGCTGGTCCTCTTATGTACTCCAATGCATCCACATTTTTTTTTCTTCTTCTCTGGAAACCTGGACTTCCACAAGGTTCTCTCTTAGGTAGCTAACCACTTAAGTCCATGTTTTACATGTGTTTCAGAACTACAGCAGGATGGATCCAGTTCACGGTCTTCTGTATGTTCCAGAGTCTGTACCAAAGACTGTCTGCCTAATGGATGCACAGGTAGGCAAGATTCCTTCTAGGTACCTTGATGTATGGCACTGTCCCCCACAGCTCCCACCTCCTGTTGTAGATAGGTGATAAATTTTGTTGTTGATGGAGGAAACAAAAACAAAGGACTTGTTATGCCACCATAATGCTCATAAATATTTGTATGTGATAATTTAACCACTAAGTAAAATTGTGCCTATAACTCTCCAGCAAAAGAATGGGCACCACCCGTGGTAGTGAGCTCCCACACCATAGAAGATTTTCATGGGAAGACTAGATAGCCCATGACACTATAATGATATAGTTATAGATATATAGATATAAAATCTGATTTTAAACAATATGTTGTCTGACACCCTTTGCTGCATGAGATTCTTACACAGAGGTCTCCAGAGCTCTCCTTCTGGCCTCTTTCAAATCTGGATAAAATGATAATGACCAGTGCACAACAGTTGTCTCATGCACATTGATTGATGGGCCGGATGGAGAAAAAGAAAAATGAGTTGCTTTTCTCCAGGTCTCTGTAGCCTCAGCCAAAAACCTGTCCCATCCTGGAAACAGCTATGCTTCTTGTCCTGGTCATCAGCACCTTTAGACCTAAGACTTTAGAACCTTTACGTCCTTTAGATCCTTTAGACTGCATCTTAGTCCATTCTTTTATTTTCCCCTAGTCCTATTCTAAATTAATACAGAGAGATGGCATTAAAATATAGCTCTTGCTTTCTTGGTGCATTTTCCCCCAATCCAAAGTACCTCCACAGCAATAACCAATGATTATTATATCTTTTTTTTCTTTAGATTGCCTCCGCAAAATGAGAAACCCTATAGTAGTGGGCATCATAATAATCCTGCTTTCAATAGGTGTAATTGCCTCACTCATTTCTTATTTGCATCACAAAAGCAGAGGTATGTGGGATCAAAAAGGTGGGAACTTCCAGAAAATATTTCCTTTTCTAATTGCCCAGTCTCTGGTAAAATATTTAACCAAAGAAGAGTGGTATTTATTTGAATTACAGGAACAATAAACACTTGGACCTCATGTCACAGGATTTGGATGCCAGCCTTCTGAATTTCATGGGTTTAATGATACAAACTGTTGACGCTTCTGCCCCTTAGGGAAAGAAAATGTTTTCTTTAGTTTTATTAGCACCAGTCCTCCATCACTTCACCTAAGAAAATATGCCAATTATTTCCATACTTCTAGCCTAGAGGAGATAGTAGTGCAGTATATCTTAAACTTCTGGCGGTCACAGATTTCTGTTAGAGACTTATGTAAAGGACCCTCTTCTCAAAATAAATTCATATGTTCCCACATATATTGATCAATTTCATGGTGTGCATGGGCACATGAAACTGATTTCCCTCCTCTCTGGCTTTCTTTGAGTGTGAAATTATAAAGATAATTGTGTAAGTTGGGGGATAGCTGAAGCTAACACATTTGACATGTGCCCTCAGCTCTTATCTTTGAGGTCCCCCTGGAAATTATATATGTAAGGCAATGAGCAGCAAGGTAAGGTAATTCTTTATTATAAACTGAAGATATAGCTATAGCCATAACATCATGATGTGGAAGTCATAAAGTAGGGCTTGATTACTTGGAGGATTTTATTTATTAATTTTCTCCTGTGAAATGAAGACACAAATGACCTTACATCAAACCAGACTGGAAGTGCTTTTTATACTTTAAGAAAGTCCATACCTGAATCTGGCATATTAACCATATTAGCAAACTAAATGTCGCATCCATTCGTGTCAGAGGAAATAAGCAAAATGTTATAATAGTAGGTAATATACTAGTATATTACATACTTATTGTGTGCTCTACAGATTTTACATAGATTAATATATAGTTGACCCTTGAACAACATGGGTTTAAACTGTATGGATCCACTTATATGTAGATTTTTTTTCAATAAATACATTGGAAAACTTTTTGGAGATTTGTGGCAATTTAAAGAACATTATAGCCTTGATGAACATTATAGCCTAGAAATATTTTTTAAAATATATTTTATTGATTTTTTTACAGAGAGGAGGGGAGAAAGATAGAGAGTTAGAAACATTGATGAGAGAGGAACATCGATCAGCTGCCTCCTGCATACAATCCTCCAGGGATGTGCCTGCAACCAAGGTACATGCCCTTGACCAGAATCGAACCCGGGACCCTTCAGTCTGCAGGCCGACGCTCTATCCACTGAACCAAACAGGTCAGGGCTAGAAATATTTTTTTAAATAAGAAAGAATGAGCTATGTCATGAATACATAAAATATGTGTATATGATTTCTCTTCCTATGATTTTCTTAATACCATTATCTTTTCTCTAACTTACTTCATTGTAAGAATATAGTATATGATACATATAATATACAAAATATGTGTTAATTGATTGTGTGATCAACAAGGCTCTGGTCAACAGGCTCTGGTTTTTAAAAAATGCTATTTTTAACTGCTAGGCTATTAGTAGTTAAATTTTGAAGGAGTCAAAAGTTAAAAGCAGATTTTCAACTGTGCAGAGGATCTATGTCTCTAACCCTCGAGTTGTTCAAGAGTCAACTGAACTTACTATTCACTGAGTTAGATTTTATTGGTGATGAAATCTGGTACACAAAGAAGTTAAATAGCTCACTTACACAGTTAAGTGATAGTGGAGCCGGGGTCCCAGCTAAGGAAATTAGATCCTTCTGCCTTCTGTTTCAACAATTTTACTGCTCCTCTATGAAAATAAATCAAATGGAAATAAAAAGAGAGAGATTTAGGCCTAGTCATTTTTGTAAAAATAGATCACTGCAGGGAAATATAGCCTGGACACTTAGTGATTTATGAGGCTTCCAAGAGATAGCCCATAGCCCCAGGAATAGGCTGCAGGTCTCTGTCATTGTCAAAACTGACTTGAAATCCTTAAGAATGAGTCAGGAGATTAAACTTTATTTTTGCCTGTTCTTCACTGAGAACCTAAAATTGAGTCATCGCAGAGGTTTCTGCCCACATGGCTGATAACTCCTGATAATTAGGCAGTAAACCTGGTCCATCTGCTAACCTCTTCTCCAAATGCTACTGACCCTTCTCTTTACTTACTAGTAAAATGGACTTTCTGCTGAAGATATTGCTTCCTCTGTAAACATCTCATTTAGCAGCCCACCACTCTATACTGCCTTTTCTGGACTAATTTTCCTTCTTGGTGCTTATCAAACCTGAAGTCACTTATCAATCATTTAACAAATATGCATTGCCAGAAAGTTCTGCAAGCATCGTATACCTTAATTCTGTAACATCCTATGCAATGTCTGTCATCTTGTCCATCTTGGAAATGCAGATACAGAAGAACATCAAATGTGATTCACTGTTTTCAGTTGCTCTAGCAAGTAATAAGATTATTCCTGGGATTCGAACCACTTGTCTCTTATTCTGAATACTTTATAATAAATCAGATTGCTTTCCAAAATGTAGATAATTGTTTCTTCTAAAAAGAGGTAGCCAGCATTTGCATCTCCAACAGACACAATACGCTGTGCCTGTTCTCTGTGGAATTCATGCACAGTGAAACCTTTGAAATGTACACCAAGAATCTTTCCAAGAATCAGTGCCAGACTAGAGCCAGACCTCCTTGGTTATACTATTAAGTGTGGGAACTTGGGAATGTTACTTATAAAGTCTCTGAACTATAGTTTTCTTATCTATTAAATATTGATGATACTGTATACATACTTTATAGGTTATTTTTTATTAAATTTGTCAATACATCAAAATCATTTAACCCGGCTTTGCACATAGTACAAGCAATGTTATTGTTTGCTATTATTATCATTATTATTAACAATAGTTAGAAATTCTACCCTGGATCCCTTTCTGCTGACCTCATCTGGTAGGAAAACTGGGCTGCCTGTGTTTGCCATTCTCCTTCTTCCCTTCCCTCCTTAGTTCATACCATTCTTTCTTCACTTGCACCCCACCATGAACTTAACTTGCCTTCTAAACAACAGTCAACTCTAGTCATATAGAAATAAAATAAAATAAAATAAAAACTCAGCTTAGATTTAAACACACACACACACACACACACACACACACACACACACACACACACACTCCTCTGAGTAAATATTCTTAGCATCTTTGGACTATTTTATTTCCAAGTTTTTCTTCAAATTTGTTTCAAATTATTTCCTATCCTTTATGAGAAGAGGTTCGAAATTCTCCTAAACATTATAGTTAGAAATAGATGTATGTGACCAAGAGAGAGTTTTCTGAATCTTCACTCTTTTGCACACTTACCCAGAGCAATTTTGCTATTTTTAAAAATGTATGCTATTACTTTTATAAAAGGAATCTCTTACCTTAGCAAGGGCAAATAATTTCTCTCGAATTATAAGGGTGGGGGGAATAGATATTAGTTAGGTGAATTCTTTCCCCTCCATTTGTATAGTCTAAGACCATACGGAATATGTTGACTTATTTATCCTCATGACATGAAAGTTGAGACCAGCAATCATAATGCCGCTAAGTTTTCTCTAATAACAATATTATCAGTTATTTCGATGACATGGATTTAAGACTTCCTGACCCCTGCTTCCTCATCCTCGCCATCTTGGCTGTCTTTCTCTATAACAGTGGTCGGCAAACTCATTAGTCAATAGAGCCAAATATCAACAGTACAATGATTGAAATTTCTTTTGAGAGCCAAATTTTTTAAACTTAAACTATATAGGTAGGTACATTGTTATTAACTTAATTAGGGTACTCCTAAGGCTTAGGGAGAGCCACATTCAAGGGGCCAAAGAGCTGCACGTGGCTCGCGAGCCACAGTTTGCCGACCACTGCTCTATAAGATAGAAAATTTGGGGGAGGAAGAAATTTTTCTCTACCTTTCTAAGTTCTTTCAGCTGGTCTAATAATTAAATAGACATGAGACAGATTAACAGGACAAATAAAAAAGTGTAACTGCTTCTGTATATACAAGAACCCTACTCATATAAGAGAGTCAGAGAGCCCACATACATGAGGTTTCAAGACAGAAAGCTAAAATGAGATGTATATGACTGTCACATAAGGTTATCTCTGATAATAACTCATATAATGGACAAGGACCTGATTTAAATTTTTTAAGGGAGAGATAAAATTTTTTGTTGCCTTCAGCTCAAAATAATCCCCAAGCCAAAGTACTATATACTGGGAGGCCTGTTCTGAACCCCTTCATTAGGAATCCATGAACAATCCCATCAGGGAGGCAAACTACAGTTAATATAGGAAAGTAGGCATAGCTGTCCAGTAATGAAACAGATACTCTCACTGTTGGTAATGGTGCTCCCATCCCAATATATATTAACCAATATTATGAGATGGGGATGTTTTCTACTTTAGAATCACCCAAAGGGATACTTTTTTAAAGGAGACTTCTGCTCTAGATAAGAGGATGACTTTGAGAATTGTAAGATCTTCTCCATCTCAGAGATTCTGCTCATTGTAAATTATTTTGTTTCACAATACCTCTCAAAAGGTCTGGAGTTCTTTTTAAAAAAAATATGTACATATATTTTTATTGACTTCAGAGAGGAAAGGAGAAGGAGAGAGAGAGATAGAAACAACACTGATGAGAGAGAATCATTGACTTGCTGCCTCTTACTCGCCTCCTACTGGGAATTGAGCCTGCAATCTGGGCATGTTCCCTAACTGGGAATTAAACTAGGACCTCCTGGTTTATAGGTTGACTCTCAACCACTGAGCCACACTGGCTGGACAAGGCCTAGAATTCTCAAGGGCCTACAGCACCAGATTAAAAAGATGAAGGCATTAAAAAAGATGAAGACATAAAGTGTCTATTTATGCTTCAAACTGTGGCCAACTAGAAAACAAGTGTCATGCTTCTTGAGTAGAAGAATGTATATCTGTGCCTACACCCCCCTCTTCCAGACTGAGCCCAAGTATACTCATCTCCAGGATCATCCACAGGACCCACCCTACTTCTCCCCACCCTCATATAAGCCCAGAAGTATGGAGGAATAGGAACTTGAAAAGCAAATCTATTATAAATCTGTGACCCTCCTAATTATTGCATCTCTCCTCAGTTCCTGCTTCAGATCCACATTTCCAATTGGATACTATGTGGTTGGAAGATATCACGGTGATCCTGTGTGTTCTGACTGTCTTCATCACCATGATCATTTCCTTTATTTACTTTAGATTCAGAGGTAAATGGGATGGGAAGGGAGGTAACTCAGAAGGTACCATGCAGATCCATGGTGGTTATTATGAACAATATAGAATGTTGATGGTTTTAAAACTTGAGGTTTATTTTTTTAATATGTTTTTATTGATCTTAGGGAGGAAGGGAGAGAGAGAGATAGAAACATCAATGATGAGAGAGAATCATTGATTGGCTGCCTCCTGCACACCCCCCACTGGGGATTGAGCCCACAACCCAGGCATGACCTGCTCTGAGCAGGAATTGAACCATGACCTCTTTGTTCATAGATCTACTCTCAACCACTGAGCCCTGCCAGCCGGGCAAAACTTGAGGTTTTTAAACCACAACATCACCTACCTATACACTGCTGTTAAAGTACCTTATGCTAACCAATTGTACCACCAGAGACCTCCCCCTACAGGCCCTCCTAATTCCGGTCTAAGTTAAGATCTCTGTTATAAATTTTAACCTTGTAATTTTGACTTAACCAAAAAAGGCTCATACCCTAGAACCACGAAGAATGTGTACTTCTCTTTTCATCTTTGCATCCATTGACTCTTGCCTTTCCCTGTGGAGAGCTGCTGGATGTTGAGGTGGTCAATTAGACTAACAAGCCAAATTGAAAGTAATAGCCAAACCTTTATCCACCTGTTATGGTATAAGAAGCCAAAAAGGAAAGTAGTGCTGGCTCCTCACTCTTCCATTTGCCCCATTGACCAGCACTGGACCAGGATCAGGTGACATGCAGTGCTGGTGGGAAAATCGTGTCTCATTACAAAGGAGCACTGAACAAAAAGCTTTGCAGTTTTATGGAGTTGGAGTGGGGTGGGGGTAGGAAGAGAAAGAGGCAGAAAGGACTAGGAATGGAAAATACTGAGTCGGAGTGAAGAATGTTGTAGTCAAGACAAACCCTCTCCCCCCAATAAAAAGATTTCAGTAAAGGTGACTGGAAAGGATCTCAGCTGAGGCCCCCAATAAGGTCTCCAAAAGGCCTCCTGGGCTAGGAATCCAGATATGCCCCCTCGGGATGGGGGATTGAGTCCTTGACTGCAAGGCATTGACTGTGCACCAAGCCCTATGTCAGTGATGGCGAACCTTTTGAGCTCGGCGTGTCAGCATTTTGAAAAACCCTAACTTAACTCTGGTGCCGTGTCAGATATAGAAATTTTTTGATGTTTGCAACCATAGTAAAGAGGACAGCACCGTGATGGCGAACCTTTTGAGCTCGGCGTGTCAGCATTTTGAAAAACCCTAACTTAACTCTGGTGCCGTGTCACATATAGAAATTTTTTGATATTTGCAACCATAGTAAAACAAAGATTTATATTTTTGATATTTATTTTATATATTTAAATGCCATTTAACAAAGAAAAATCAACCAAAAAAATGAGTTCACGTGTCACCTCTGACACACGTGTCATAGGTTCGCCATCACTGCCCTATGTGGAGAGAACAGCCTTCCTACACAGGGCCTGCTAGGCAAGGCCTTTGCAATTTCCTGTGGTCAGACACAAGGGATCACACAGTCAGACTCCTCATTACTTCTGTAATATTGAGAAACAGTCTGTTAGTTGAGATTAAACCAATGCAAGGGACAAGTGTGTGCTTCCAACAACACAGATCTATGCTTCTCATACCTAGTTTCTGCCACCAAGAGCAACTGCCCAATTATTATCCCTGCATCCATAGGCAAGTGGGGAAGGTAGTAAGGAGCCTGTAGCCAATTTCTTCCACTGAGTCTGGTTTACTTATTAACCCAGTGGGATTAAAAGCAGGGTTAGAGTCAAGGAGAAGTTTTACTGTCTCTCATAGTGGAGGAGACCAGTCTTGCTAAGAAACAATCCTATTTTAAGATTTATGGGGCTATAAGTGCATTTCTTCTTCTTTTTTTTTTCTTTTTCAAGAACCCTTGACACATAGGTATTTTTCAACAGAACTTAGAGATATGGATTTTATCACATTTAGTATGAAGGCCTCATAATCCATTTTTTTTGTTTATTTGTGGAGTTGTTTGTTGTTGTTGTTGTTAATCCTCACCCAAGGATATTTTTACATTGACTTTTAGAGAAAGTGGGAGAGGGAGAAACAAAGAGAAACATTGATGTGAGAGAGACACATCAGTTGGTTGCCTCTCACATGTGCCCCCAGCCAGGGCTGGGGATCGAGCCTGCAACTGAGGTACATGCCCTTGACTGGAGTCGAACCTGGGACCCTTCGGTCTGAGGGCCAATGCTCTCTCCACTGAGCCAAATCACCTGGCCTGTAAGTGCATTTCTTGATGCTGCGCCTCAGTATCCTATTGAGACCAATGAAAAAGTTGCTTTACCAACTCAAAGATTTTATCAAGTACCCAAAATTCCATTTTATAAAACAAGATCAAGACAATACATAAATTGATTTGGACTAGAGATTATACATGCAGTGAACTGAAAAGACTCAATTTATTCTATTTATCATCATTACACTAGTTTAGAGCACTTCAATTTCAAGTTTGACCATTTTCAATTTGGCTTGGGCCCAGTGGTCGGCAAACTGCGGCTTGGCAAACCACGGCTCACGAGCCACATGCGGCTCTTTGGCCCCTTGAGTGTGGCTCTTCCACAAAATACCACGTGCGGCGCGCACGTACAGTGCGATTGAAACTTTGTGGCCCATGCGCAGAAGTCGGTATTTTGTGGAAGAACCACACTCAAGGGGCCAAAGAGCCGCATGTGGCTCATGAGCCGTGGTTTGCCAAGCCGCAGTTTGCCGACCACTGGGCCCAAGCCAAATTGAAAATGGTCAAACTTGAAATTGAAGTGCTCTAAACTAGTGTCTAGATTTTTAAATTAATCATTGATTTAAAAATCAATCATTTCTCATAATTAAGTCAATTTTATTTTATAGACAAAAAGTCTATACAATTTCTTAAATATTTCCTTTAATTCTACCAAGTTTGTGTTAGGGTATTATGATTATTCCTATTCCTTTTTTAGTAGCTATTTTCTTTGCCCATTTGTTGAATGGTCTGAGCTTTTTTACTATATTGAAAGTTGATTATTTTAATTTCGTGTCTCTTATGTTTTACAAATTTCCAACTTACAGCAGGTTAAGAGGATGCATAAGAATATTTAGAAATATTTAAAAAGAAAATCCACAGACTCACTGCAACTTCTCATGTGTCTTGTGACATACACATCAGATTTACTGTGCAACAGCCTTTTCAAAGCAAATATTGATTTACTAGTATCTGAGTTTGAGGGTGTAGAGAAAGAGAGGGAGAAGAGAGGTGAAGAGAGGAAAGGGACAATTCTTAATTAAATTTCACTAAGTTATCCATTTACTTCAGTTGCAAAGAGAGAATATGCAAATTAAATCAGACTCCTTTCAAGATGCCTTTATTTCTTGTAGACTTCCACCCTGCAGAAATTTCCCTCTCATTGATTTAAGCTAGAGAATTCAAGTTCATGACTTCTAAATAAATTGTTTCTCATGGGTTTTCCAAAGATGTCTTTGACATCTCAAAGGAGGTACACATGTTCTCAAACATGTTTTCATTGAACTATTTGTCTTTAGTAAGATGTGAATTTATAATTCCTTGACAGGTGTCCTAGAAAGATAGAAATTAAACAAGCATCAACCATCTCATCTGGAACTCTGGATAAAGGTATACAGAGGAAGAGGAAGCCTTCGTGGCAACTTTACAAATTCAGAGACCTAAAATAACCAGAGAGGATGATCTGAAATTAAAACTTTTAAACTAAAAGCAGTTTATGGTGGGTAGTCATATCCTAGCTAGAAATCTTCTCTGACAAAGATCAATTTTCACCTTAATTAAGCCTGTCTATTGTCTTTTTGCATCTACGATAACATACCTTTGCATGTGAAAATAATTTCCTTTTTCTGTACCCCTCATGTTCGGGCACCACTCTGTAGAGACCACAAATCCCCTCACTGTTATTGAGTTAATTGTTGACTGTTAACTATCCTGTACCCACCGATGTAAAAGAAGTTGTATCTTTCATTTTACTGTCTATCCAGTCCCAGAGGTTTCCCACTTTTCTTTCTCCTGCTTTTCAAATCTATCACCAGTGGATTTTATGTAACCCACTCACATCTTCTCTTTTTATTGTAATGTATTAAGAAAGGTGAAAAACTGCCATTCTCTTGAGCATTTTCTCAATCCTTTGAGATTTTGCTTCCTGGAAATTGTTGATAGTTTGGCTCACAAAAATTCTCTATAGGTTTGAATGTTTCTTATGTTGACAGTGGCCCTACAATTTTATATATAACCAAGTAATTGCCAGGTGGAGGGCAAATAAAATATATTCAAATTTGCATTTCATTTGTAGCTTTTGTACAAACTATGAATTAATGCAAAAAAGATGAAAATGTAATCAGAGGATAACAAATTAAGGGAATAACTGGAATAAAATCAATAATCTACATGGTAAAATGGAAGTAACTCTGAAATTAGAAATAAATCTACATCAATAATTAAATGTCGTGTCAAGCAGTAAACAATTAAAAGAAAACTACTCTCAAATTTATGATATTTACAAGAGACTTAACTAAAGCATAATGGCAGAGAAAAGTGGAAAATACAAGGATACAAAGACCAAAAACCATACAACTTCTACTAAAAATATATGTGAAAAGATATATTAATATTGGGGGAAATATAATTAAAAAGAAATTAGCAGGGATAAGATAAGGACTATATACTGAAACTTTCTAAATATTAGTGTACAGTACATATACACTAATAATATACTCTTAAATTCATAAAGAAAACACTTAAAGAAATGCAAGTACAATTCTATAAACATTGAAAAAGATTTTAATATGCTTCTGGCACCAGGAATTGGCAGATCAAACAATAGTACCTGCTTCATAGGTTCCTAATGATGACTACCTAATTTAATATTTGTGTAGCTCTTTTCTCAGGATATGGTGCTACAGAAATTTTATTTATAAAATAAAATAGTATGTGAAAAGATTCTTAAAAGTCATCATTCAGGGTAATGAAATACAATGTAATGACACTTCATCTTACCACTGACAGACTAGTAAACATTTAAAAGAATTAAATTTTGATGATTATTTGTGGAAATGGGAAATCATACATTCCTGCTTTGAAAATATATTAGTAAAAAACATTGAGAGCAATAATAGTCAACAATTTAAAAATTATTATAACATAAAAAATGAATTAAATTTTTATATTTCCATTTGTTGTGGTTCTGAATGAAATTAGAAAGAGCAAGAGAAAGACAGAAAATGATATCCTTGTAATTAGCTAGTCTATACAGTAGGTCCTCGGGTTACATCGGAGATCTGTTCCTACGACGTAACACAATTTTCACTGTAAGTTGGAACCCACCTACATAAGCACCTATGTCACTCACATGGAGCACATACATAGCAGTAATGAAGTGAAACAGTAAAAAAAAAAAAAATTAAAAGAAAGAAAGCAATTCCTGACCTTTTCTTGTGGTAAATAATAAAAAACATAAAGCAAATATGTAAATATGTCGAAATGACAGAATTTTTTATATGTAAATAAATGGGAGATGGCAACATAACCATGAAACGATGTACATTGAGTCCGACGTAACCCGAGGACTGCCTGTATATATAAAAGCCTAAGTGACTGAATGACTGAACAACTGGTTTACTGTTCGCTATGATGCATACTGACCACCAGGGAGCAGATGCTCAATGCAGGAGCTGCCCCCTGGTGGTCAATGCGCTCCCAGAGACCACGGAAGAGCAGCAGTGAGCCTATCGAGCAGTAGCGGCAACAAGTGCAGTGGGGCAAGGGTGAGCAGGAGTGGCAGGCAGGAGCAGCAGGAGGCATTGGACTGCTGGTTTTGGCTGGATCCCCACAGGCTATGCTGAGGGACCCCACTGGTGCACAAATTCATGCACCGGGCCTCTACCCAGCGTGCGAAATTGCACAAGACTTAGACCCGCCGTGCTGTGAGACCCCAACACGCTGCGCCGCGGGACCCATCAATGCACCTCCTGGTGACCAGTAGTTTGGTAGTTATGGCGTTATGGCGTTACAGTCACTGGCTTTTTATAATATAGACTACGGGCCCGGTGCACAAAATTCATGCATGGGGGGGGGGTGTCCCTCAGCCCGGCCTGCACCCTCTCCAATCTGGGACCCCTCGGGGGATGTCCGACTGCCATGTCAGACTGCCAGTTTAAACCGGCAGTTGGACACCCCTCTCACAATCTGGGACTGCTGGCTCCTAACCACTCGCCTGCCTGCCTGCCTGATTGCCCCTAACCACTTCTACCTGCCAGCCTGATCACCCCTTAACTGCTCCCCTGCCAGCCTTATTGATGCCTAACTGCTCCCCTGCCAGCCTGATGGGCCACAACTGCCCTCCCCTGCCAACCTGGTCACCCCCAACTGCCCTTCCCTGCCAGCCATCTTGTAGCGGCCATATTGTGGTAGCCATCTTTGTGGTGGCCATCTTGTGGTGGCCTTCTTTGTGGCAGCCATTTTGTGGTGGCCATCTTGTGATGACGTGAGGGTGCGAGGACCACCTAGGCTTTTATTAGTATAGATAGAAAAAGATCAAAAGGGGGCAGACTTTTTAGGCATGTCATCTGGGCAGCTTCACCAAGAAGCTATAATTTCACACTCCCCAGGGTACCACCGGCCATTCCCTGCAGGTCACTGATGGAAGGGGTCCAACAAAGGGGAGATAGACACATACACAGTGAAGTTGGTATTTTCTGTCAATCAAACCTGGGAACAAAGATCTTTGGCCAGAGTGGGTGGAGCTAATGCATGCCCATGAAAATTTGGGGATACATAATCTCCCAAACAAAAAAAAAGCACTATTGGCTCTTGGCTCTCTCTTGGCTTATGGGGCTCTTGGCTTCTGACTTGTGGGGCTCTCTTATTCCTACTTTGTTGCATTTGCCTGTGTTTCCTTCATAGCCATGTGGCCCTGTGGACCCCACATGCAATAGACTAATGGATTGCAACTGGGAACACAAAGTAAGCTAGCTTGATGCTGGATTGGGTTGCTCCAACATGAAACGGAAGCTCTGGACACTGGACATTAGAATCACCTGGGAATCTTTTTAAAATCCTTATTTCTGGGCCTCAATCAGGATTTTAAAAAGATTCCCAGGTGATTCTAATGTGCAGCCAAGGTTGAGAACCACAGCCATATGCAATGGACTAATGGATTGCAACTGGGAACATAAACTAAGCTAGCTTGATGCTGGATTGGATTGCTCCAACATGGAACAGGAGCTCTGGACACTGCCTCTGATTTTAGACCTGCTAAAGACAAAATGGGACTTCTTCCTTGAGAGGCCTGAGGGAAATGGGACCTTGGAAACTCAGGGGTTTGATTCCACAGAAGTAAAGCTTTCTACAGTATCTCATCCTCTAATGCAAGTCTCAGGAAATTTGTTTTCTTGGGATACTGCAAGAAGCCCACTCCCATGAGCAACAGGTGGGGATGAGGAGGACCTCTCCCCACCAATAACAAAAACATTTATTTTTCAAGGTGGAAATAAAATTTATTAAACAAATAAATTTCCTTTGAATACCATAAATATATCTTAAGCAGACGCCATAGTCCAACCAGACTGCTATAACAAAATGCTGTAGACCAGGTGGCTTATAAACAACAGAAATTTGTTTCTCCCAGTTCTGGAGGCTGGGAAGTTCAAGATCAAGGATCCGATAAATTGAGTGTCTGCTGAGGGCCCATTTTCTGGTTTATGGACACCTGTCTTTTTGCTGTGTCCTCACATGATAGAATGGTTGAGGGAGCTCTCTGGAGCTTCTTTGATAAGGGCATGATACTATTCATGAAGGCTTCACTAACATGACCTATTCATACCCTAAAATCCCACCTCCAAATACCTTTACATTGGAATCTGGTTTCAACAGTTGAATTTTGAGGGCAGGGGGAAACAAACATTCAGTCTGTAGCAACAGATAATTTTAAAACATGAGTACACCTTAGAAAGAATAATTCAAGATTAGCAATAGTGATATAAATTTGAAGTAAAATAAAATAATGATATATGAAATATATACTTATAAATACATGCAAACACATAATATCTACAAAAACACAAACTGCACACCAAATTCCAGATAGTTGTGTCTGGATAAATAAATAAGGACAAATATTTGTTAAATATTTGTTAAATATTTGTCTGGATTGGCAAATAATTTAATACTTTAAACAAAGAGTTACACAGCAAATTATAACCAGTGCATAATTTAGCTTATTGTTGGTCTTATATTACAAATTGGAGAGAATTTGTTCAAGAAAATTTACTGAATCTTATTAAATACAGTGGGAATCTGCAGCATTTTAGCCAAGGGATGCTCTCAGCTTCCACATTAGATTATCAGGGAGATAGACTTTCTGAAAAACTAGAAAACTTGAAGCAGAAATACTGGCTTACAAAAATTCAGGCATTAACTGCACTTTTCACATGAGGGTAAAGGTATAGCCTTGTTTTTAATTTGATTCAAGAGCCAGGAGATCATGGTGTTTATAAATATCTTCTTAAACTAAAGTAAAATCTCTTTTCTCAGACTGTGATATAATTGTCTTTATTTAACCTAAATTTTAAAGGTATTGTCACCTAAACAAAATCCTAATTGGAACTTTTTTCCTTCCAAAGTGTCAAATAGGTTATTTCATTGTTTCATACCCTTTGCATTATATGTTGAAAAGTCAGTGATCTGTCTTATTATTGCATCTTTGAAGACAGTGTATCTTTATTAGATTGCTTTAAACATTTTGCTTCAATTTTGTTTTCATAGTCTGTTTATGATGTGCTTGATATGGTTTAATTTATATTTATCCTGCTTGAGTTTCACATTCCTCATTTAATACATGAATTTAAAAATAAAATTCCAACAGTTATTTCTTCAAATATTTCTTCTGCATTATGTTATTTTGCTTTTGAGTGTCTAGTTATATGTATGTTAGATTTTTTTATTGTTTCTCTTATCTCCCAATGCTTTTTCTGTATATTCTATTTTTCTTCTTTTTGTTCTTCAGCTTGGACATATTCAATTATAGAGTCTCTCAGTTCACAAATCCCTGCCTCATATGCTGCTAAACTCTTCAAATGAGCTTTATTTTTTAAGTTTAGAAGTTATATTTTATTCTTATAGAAATACCAAGTATTTTTCTTAGATTCCACTTTTATGGTAATGTTATGTAACTCTTCCTCATATGCTAGAACAAATCAATTATAGTCCATTAAAACTTATCAGCTAATTTTACTATTTTAATTGACTATGTTAGGTCTGTTTCTATTGTCTGTTTTTTCTCTTATTTTATGTTCAGATGATTTTGTCCTTTCTCAGATATGAAAATTTTGATTTAAGGACATTGTAATAGCTTTATAATTATTCAACTTGTCTAGGCTGAAATACACTTTCCAGAATTCCCTTTCTTTTATGTTTCCAGGTTAAGTGGGTTACAAGGGAAATGTGCAGTTAGAGCTGCAATTGCTCTACTTTCCCATGAATTCTCCTAAATCTCTGACTCCTAAGCCAAATGTATGTGTAAACACTGTGATGATGAGCCCTAGATTCTGCAACATAGTCTCTTCAACAAGGTCAGGAGAAATCATCCTGAAGTAGTCAGAAGCAATAAGAATAGATATTGGTTTCACTCTATGTGGGAGTAGCTCATCCATGTGAGTTCCTCTCTATATGTATCTTTGCAAATGAGATCCATTCTTCTCCCTCTTCCAGTACTAGTAAGGGAATGCAGGCTAATATTCGCAAGGTAACCACTGAGCTGAGATGCAGAATATAAAAGGGTAATTTAAAGTACTGCAAAGTTAACTGTTCTTATCTAAATTCAGATTTTTTTTCTGATTGTTTCCATGGTTATTGCAAGCTTTTGGTTAGTTTCCAGAGTTCTGATAAAAGTTGATTTCTGACATATTTTTTCCCAGTTTACTTATTGTTTTATAGAGGAAATGCATTAGTCAGCTTTGGGCGCCATAACTAGATGACTTAAATAACCAACATTTATTTCCTGAAAGTTCTGGAAGCCAAAAGTCCAAGACCAATTTGTAGTAAGGCCCCTCTTCCAGGCTTGTAGGTAACCATAATCTCACTGTCTGCTTTCATGACCTCTTCTTTGTGCAAACACACACACACACAGAGAGAGAGAGAGAGAGAGAGAGAGAGAGAGAGAGAGAAGAGCAAGCTCCCTTGTCACTTCTTATATTAAGATTAATTCTATCAAAATATGCTGAATTAGTACCTCAAACTCCACACCTTATTTAACTCTGTCATTCAATGAACTATCTATTAGGGTGTTCCTAGTTCTGATCCAAGCATACAGACCTCACAGTGGACCTTTTCAAATTACCAAGAACTTAAGAAGAGAAGCAAGACTGCTTAAAAACAAGCCAGTGTTACAAAAACTCTATTTCTTAGCTTTACTCAGTGTCCCCCTAGTGTTCTTTCTCTTTTTTTTCTAAGCCCCAAAAGTTAACTATCTTAAATGGGCAATTTAAACTCCACATTCTCTTGCCCTAACCGGTTTGGCTCAGTGGATAGAGCATTGGCCTGCGAACTCAAGGGTCCCGGGTTCGATTCCGGTCAAGGGCATGTACCTTGGTTGTGGGCACATCCCCAGTGGGGAGTGTGCAGAAGGCAGCTAATCAATGTGTCTCTCTCATCGATGTTTCTAACTCTCTATCCCTCTCCCTTCCTCTATAAAAAATCAATAAAATATATTAAAAAAAACAAAACTCCACATTCTCAAAAAATATTTCTTTGAGGTATTAGTTCCACATCACCCTTTTCCTTCTCTGATATTTTGAATTAAGGTACAATAGTTCACTCTCTTAAAGTCTTATGTAGACACTTACAATTGCTTTGGATTATTTTGCACTGAGATAGACAATTGTATCATGTCCAAATGTATTGCTTTTTCCTATACTTTATACTGGGTTACGTATGTAGTCATCACAGAAATACAAATTACCCCAATAAGATAGCACTGCATGCCAACCAGAATGACTAAAATTTAAAACACTGACACCTATTATTATTATGTACTAGCAATTACGTTTTCTGTATAATTACTAGTAGTAATGTAGTTATACAGCTATTATTTTCTAGGTATTTATTTCTCCATCCTTTTACATTGAAACTGCTTTTATCATTAAGTTTTAAGCATATATATTAGAGTTCTCCAGAAAAATATACCAAACAGAAAATTTATTACAGAAATTGGTGCATGTGGTTTTGAAGAACAAAATAATCCCATGATCTGCCATTTTATCGCTAGAAAACCAGGAAAGCGGGTGGTATAATTCAGCAAAGTCTGAAGGCCTGAGGATAGGGGAAGCCAACGGCATAACCCCCAGTTCAAGGTTAATGGCCTGAGAACCAGGAGCTCTGATAGCCAAGGGAAGGAGAATATGGACATCCCAACCCAAAAAGGGAACATAAATTTGCTCTTTCTCCACTTTTTTATTCTATTTGGGCCCTCATTGGATTAGATGTTGCCTGCTCATATTGGTAAGAGCAATCTGTTTTACTCAGTCTACTGATTCGAATGCTAATCTCTTCCAATAACATCCTCACAAACACAAGTTGATGCATAAAATGTTACTTATTTACAGTTCTTTTTTAAAAAATTAAATTTATTGGAGTTATATCCTCCTATATAATAAAAGACTAATATGCAAATTGTCCCCTCTACCAGGAGTTCAACCGGGAGTTCAAGCAGAGGGCTGACTGGCCAACTGCCCATGGCCCCTCCCCATGGCCCTGCCCAATGGGCCCTGATTGGGGCGGGCTGGCAGGACCCCACCTGTGCACAAATTCATGCACCGGGTCTCCACTTGATTAATAAAATTATATAGATTTTAGGTGTACATTTTTATAATACATTATCTATATATTGTACTGTGTGTTCACCACCCCAAGTCAAGTCTCCTTCCATCACCATTTATCCCCCCTATATCCTTTTCTTTCTTCTCCCACACCCCCCTTTCCCTCTGGTAATCACTGTATTGTTGTCTATGTATGAGTTGGTTTCTTTTGTTGTTGTTTAATCCCTTCACCTTTTCACTCAGTTCTGCTACACCCCAACCTTTTGACAGCTATTCTCTATCTATAAGTAAGTTGACATAAAATTAAATAACCATCACAGCCTATGTCATGAATCAAAAATCTTTTATTTTGTAATTTTATCAAATGTTAGTCTCAGTTTAAAAATCAGAGATTTAAGTCCATTTATACAGCTGATTATGGTACATTGGAATTACTGCAAAATTTTATGATACATTTATTTGTTTCTTAGCTTATCACTTTTTCTACATCTAGATATTCTGTTGCTTGAGATTGCCAGGGCCAGCCTGACAAGGTTGAGCCAGGCTGAGGCAGGGAGGTGGGAATTGAGAAAAGAAAGACAGGAAAGCGGGATCGGGAGGACTCCAGTTCTCGAGGAACTAAGTGAAGTTTATTAGCCACACTATCTTATTTATACACAACACACTGAATAGGAGGTCTGTCAAGAGGAATGTATTCTTTGTTCCTCTTCATCTCTAAGGGAGAGACACAGCAGAAGGACAAGTTCTCAGTACAGCATATCTCAGTAAATAGTTACAGACTTCTTGGTAAGCCATGAAAGGCTGTTCTCATTCTACAAAGGTTGCTCTCATTCTACTGATAATCGCCATCCAAACAAGTCTGGGAAAACTGTGTGGGTAAGGATCCCAGCCTTGCTAGCCCCTTCAGGTGCAAGGACCTTGCCAGCTTACATCTGGTCCCCAACATCAGATCTTAATTATGGTGTGATTACATTTGGCCTAGGTACTTTCTCATGTAAATTTGCAAGGAAAATACATATGTAATAAATATACTGAAAGACTACAAAATATCTGAAATTTTTTATTTTGCTCTCACACATTATAATTATTTGACTCTGTAGAAAAGTACAGGTCCTTGGTCCAAAATGCCTTTATCTCAAAGTTTACATTGCTGGTTCTACTGTCCTCGAGTGTCCTGTGTTTCAGATGAGTAGTCAGATGTCCATTCTTGTGAAATATCTGTTAGGGAAGCAGTGACTCTTGTTATTGAAGGTACATGGATTCAAGTCTAGTTAAACTTAAAATATGGGGAGGAATGCATATCAGAGACCATGACGGTACTCATTGACATTCACAGGACAATGAAAATCAAAATCAAAATCTACATTTTATAGACATAATAAAATTGGAGAAAGAAAAGAATGTCTTTGATTGTAATGCTTTTTAGGGTTAAATTCTATAGCAGAAACCAATATCAACAATCATTTTAAGGTAAATTACATGTATCATTCAAGAACTTTGAGTGGGTGAAGAGATACATACAGAGAAGCAAAGATTTTGGCTTAAATATCACACAAGTCATAAAATTTGAGCGCTGCCTACTATTAGCTAAGGGAGTGGAATCTCTTCCAAGATAGATGTAGTTCAAATCCACATTGGGATAGTTAGAATACATTTGTTAAGGGAGTTAAATGGTTTGGAAGTGAAATATTAACTCAAATATCACAGCTATGCCTCATTCCTTTGGCATTGCAATTCTAGAAAAGTAAGCCTGACACCTTTGCAATTGCTTGACTTAGAAACAATTCAGGACAAGACACATACTTTGGCCCCTTTCATAAAAGAAACCCCCCAATTCAAGGGCTTAAAGCAGTAGTGGGTATTTGGACACCACCAAATTATGACCAAGTAGGAATTTAACTAATTCTCAGACAGAAGGGAAAGCCCTGAGCAGTGGCAAGAAGGAGAGGAAATGAGCCTGTATTAGAATGAGTACAGCCCTTCTCTGGCTTTTATGCTGTTACTTCTGCTCTTTTCTGTTGGCATGGGACTCTTACACGGAAATTGCTCATTGGATGGTATGCTACCTCTCCCTGTACTTGTGCCTTCATTACCATCTCTGGCAGGAAGCAGAGCCTAAATATAAACCTCTCTTGGGGCAAACACACATTTGTCCGACCTTTCATGCCCTTGTCCTAATTTCCTTTCTGATAGCTTGCCCTATTTTTATGACCCATCCTTCACAGTGGAGTGGTCAAGTCAAAGGGAAAGTCTTTGCTGAACTTACAGATCTAAGTTATTTGGTGCCATTTTAGTTTATGGTCTGGGGCTTAACTTAAATTTAAATAGCAGTAGGGCCAATCTACACTTAATCGAAGTTTAATTCTTTTTTAGAGAAAGTTTTTAATACTAAGGAGTGGCAATTTCCCTAGCCATATCTATGTTCATCATTTCCCTTGGGATATTGTGGGTGTAATACGTGGGTAGTAAATAATAAGATGCAGGCATTCAGATTCTGTAACTTCCCAAATGGCTTCACCTTTTTCTATTCCCAATACTAGCATGGGGAGAAATGCTTACAAAAAAACACTAAAATTTAGGGATCTCAGACCCACATCATAGAAAAAACCTCTAGAACTAAATACCAAACTTAAGCAAAATGAGAAAAGTTGCAATCAGTGGGATTTTTCTCAAAGTTTTATTCACAGGCCTGGAAGGGCAGAGTATGCAGCTTAGATATGGTCTCTATTCTTTCTCACTATGTGACCCCCAGGTCCCTGAATGGACTACATTGATTTACTAGTCTGAGACAAGAAAAAGGATTAAATAATTAATTAGGATTTGGAGCCACAGCATTCAAAAAAGTATAAAATAAGTCTGCATTGGTTGCTCTGGCTCTTAGCCTATTACATCTGCTCTTTCTTTTCGCTTTTATTGACTTTTACATGGGAATTGCTTATGATATAGATAGTATGGTACCCCTCCCTATACATGTGCCTTCATTACCATATCTTTAGTTGAAGGAAGAGTTCCATCGAAATGTCAAAGGGAACCTCCCTTGTGAATCTGCAGCAAATTTTCAACAATTAATTGGTCACCAGCTAGGCATGGTTGGGCTGAGGTCTTTCTCTGGTGCTGCCCAGTCTGTGATGTAAATGGTAAAGTCCCCATTCCCACACGAATGTGTTCTATCAGTGAAGGAGGATTTGGTAATGTAACGGGATGAGCATTTAGCAAGGCATGAGGTAATTGCTAAAATGTTCCCGTTCTGCTTGCTGATGTCGAAGAAAAATGTGGATATCCCAAGATGCCATTTTTTTTTCAGAGCTTATTTGACCCTATAACAGAAGTTTCAGAGTGCAGGTTAACCATACAAGGGACTCAGGTGGAGGTATAGGTGATAATATCATCAGAACTCCCACCTCGCCATCTCACTTACCTTTCAGGGTATAAAAGAGACCAAAAATGAGTAGGGTGAAAAATACCATCAGTGTACCCAGGATCAAACACAGATCACACATCCAAGTACTATAAAATGGGGCTTGGCTATCCAAAACAGAGGCTGGAAAAGAGAGAAAAATTAAAAAAAACAATATATATATATTTTAAAAACAAAACCAAATAGAGGCTGGAAATTATGCACAAATAAAGAAAACATATCCCACTTAACAAGGGAAGGAGGAGCACTGACAAAGGAAAATCTGCCTTCTAGCCCTCATTTACTTGTGAGTGTTTTTCCTGGGCCTAATTTGGAATTGCAACTCCAGGCATTATGATGGGATAAGACTTGGTAGTTTAGATGAGCCAGAGGGTGCATGGAATTTGGGCTGAGCCATGAGTGCACACCACGAGGTTTCTACTCATGTATCCATAGGTAACTGAGAACACACTCTCATTTGTTTTCATACCCTTGGTTAGGAGCTGCAGAGGCAAAATGTTCTAGAAGCATCACAGAGATAATAAATTGGACCTCTTAGCATTTGGATAAAACAAAATTGTCTGTAATTGCAGCTAGGTGATGGGAGACTAAATTTGAATATGCAATGTGTACTGGATATGACCATGATATTGAAAGAGTTCAAATTCAATCCGCTTAAGTAACAAATGGACAAATGAAGATAAAGGAACCATGATACTAAATTTAAGACTGTAAAATGTTTTCATTGCGATGAGGCCCTAGAAGGACTAGACAGAAGTTAGACATGGTAGTTTTCATTTCATTAATGTAAAACATGGTCACTAAAATGTAAGCTCCAGAAGGTCAGGGCCTTTTAATATTTTGTTCATTGTTGAATCCCCAGTATTTAGAAATGTGCCTGGCACATAGTAGGCCCTTATTAAATGAATTGAAACTATAAAGACAACATTCATCAGAAATCAGAAACAAGTTTAGATACAGTGGGGCCTTGACTTACGAGTGTCCCGACTAATGAGTTTTTTGAGATACCAGCTGTCTCTCAGCAGATTTTTTGCATTGAGTTGACAGAGTAATTTGAGTTAACCAGCATCTTAATGAGCTCCTTAACGAGCTCGGTCTCAGAACGAATTAAACTCGTAAATCAAGGCCCCACTGTATTTCAATTAAGAGATAAAATCTTATAAAATACCCATATATATTTCAAAAATTGAAAGAGACAATCCAGAAAATATCTGCAGGCCAGAAAAGAAATTTTTTTTTAAGTAACATGAGAAATAGCACATATGAAAAAGTCTGTCATGCAAGAAAGAATAAAGATTAAAAAAGTAAAAATATATGGATAAATATAAATAAACTAGAGGCCTGGTGCATGAATTTGTGCACAGGTGGGGTCCAGCTGGAAAGGCCTGCCCCAATGGGGGCCAAACAGGTGGGGGGGGGGGCTGCTCGCCCCCAACCAGGGTGGGGGTGCCAATAGGGGCAGAGCTGGCTGGGAGGAGGGGCCATGGGAGGTTGGGGGCGGGCCCTGATCGAGCAGGCTGGCCACCACAGTGCACATCATAGTGACCAGTTGTTCCAGTCGTTCTGATCGCTTGGCTTTTATATATATAGATAATGCTATATAAGACAATCTTAATATATAAAGAGGTAATATGCAAATTAGGCCCAGACGCCATAACAGGATGACCCTTTACAGGGTGGGCATGGCTTCAGGGTTGGGGACGGCACTCCAGGTCTAAGAGCCATTTGTCCCATCCAGGCAGACTCCTTCTGTGGCCCGCAGCCAAATCCCAACGGAGACCTGGGGTTTACTACTTTACTGGAGCTGCTCCCCACACCCCACCCCCTGCCCCAGGACCCCGCTGCCCACTGCAGGGCGCCCCCGCAGTGTCCTAACAGGCGGGCAGCCTGGGAGTGCCGGGAGAGCCTAGTGGAGCAGGTGCTGCAGGGAGCCAAGGAGGGGCAGGGCAAAGGAGCCAAGCTCCCTGGGGTCTGAGGAGAGTGCCTGAAGGAAAAGGAAGCTTCAGTGGGCGAAGCAGCTGGCCAGGAGCCACAGCCAGAGGGGCTGCAGGTGCACAGACAGGCCCCGCCTGAGGGGCGGCTCCCAAGTGCTGTGGCTTTGGTGAAGCAGCTGGCCAGGAGGCGGGCAGCCCAAGGGGCACAGAGCGGCGCCGAGGCGGGGTTCGGCTGGAGCAGGGGGCCAGTGGGTGGCGATCTGCCTCACCCAAGGAGAGCGAGGTTCTGCAGTGGCCCCAAGATGTGGGAAACAAGAGGCTATTGACTGTCTGCATGGAAGGATGCCGGGGTGGGGGGCGTGGACCCGCAGCCCTGAGGCGGGGGTTGAGGGGCAGTGCCACCTCACTGCAGGGGTGCTGTGCTGCCAGTTACCCCACTATGGCAGTTCAGTGAAGCTCCTGGTGCTAACTGGGCCTCGCCATGGCCTGCACACTTGAGAGACCGCCACTCCTGCTCCCGCCTTGGCCCAAAAGCAAGCCCATGCCTGCCCCGCCCCCAGTTCCTGCCCTGCCCCACTGCGGCACATGTCTGAATGGTGAGTGCGAAGCCTACCACCTGCTCCCGAGAAGGGAGGGCAGTAAAGAATGGGGGCGGGGAGCGGGATAGAGGAAAGAATGTGGAGTATCCACGATGAAGAGTTGCTTGAGAATGAGACTCAGAGCCTCATGGGGAGGTTTATTCTGTTTGCTCCATGGCTGTCCCTTAGGAAAGGCGAAGAGCGTAGGTGTGAGGGCTCCGTGCGCACTGAGTCCAGTTCCACAGCCAACTGGAATTGGCCTCAGTTTCCTGGTCTGTAAAAATGGATTAAGCGTGTCCTAGTGCCTTCGTTGAGCTTGGAGGGCCAATGGAGATACTATATAAAGAAAATGAGGGAAGAAGTGAGAAAGAAAAGGAAGGACGAGCAACAGAAAAGAAAGATTGGAAGGAACCTGTAAACCTATTGTCACTTAAATAGGAATACAGTCAATAGTTAATAGTATTGTAATGACGGTATGATGCCAGGTGGGTACTGGAAATATTGGGGAACACTTTGTAAAGTATATGATTGTCTAACCACTATTCTGTAACTAATATAAAACCTAAAACTAATACAAAATAATATTGAATGTAAAGAAATGATAATAGGAGTGAAATTTTTATAAATTTCAAAGTTTAAACAAAGGCTGTAAAGGAAGGAAAGGAAAGAATAAAAATGGTGTTTTTCATTTTACCACTTTATTGTCTTTTCAGTACATGAAAAAGACAGTTGTCTTTATACAGTGCTTGTATACTTTTCTAAGTCATTATCTCATTTGATATTCAGGGCAACTTAGACAAGATAATTATTCCCTCCACTATTCAAAGAAAGAAAATCTTGGTGTCTGGACCCAATGATTCAATCATCAAGCCCTTATTGTAAAGCAGGGTTAGTGAAATTTTCTGTGAAGGGTCATATCTA